CGCAATCCCTTCTCCTCCATTCTCCTCTCGGGATCTTGGGCACGCACGCACACGCGCCCGGCGTGAATTTAAGCCACCGGGTCCGGGACTCAAACCACAGTCGACTACATGGGAGTCCGTGGACATAGCCATTACGCTAACTGCTGGTCCCATGAGTGCATTTTGCAAGGATGCATTCCTGTGCTGTCTGAAGGAAGATCTCTGGTGGTCAGAATTCCTTTCTTGGAGTCTGGTTTTCCAGAAGCCACTGAATTCGGGCGGCGAAGTGCAGACCTTCGCGAGCACCCTTCCTGTCTCTGCTTGTCCATGTGAGCTGTGGGACACGAGGCCGAGAAATGAGCGTTGGGGCCCAGCTGGAATGCGGTGGCTCTTTCTCTCCTGGCCTCAAGGGACGACATTTTCACACTTCTCCATCCAGAAAAGACCTGGGGGACAGCACCAGCTCCCCGACAAGTGCGCTCAGCCCCCCACCCCCGTTTCAGTGATGGACTCCCCAGTACGTTCTGAGACTAAAATTCGTTCCCGAAGTCCCACTCCCTGTGGAAGGCCAGATTTGGCATATTTCAGGAACCTTAGACAACCCTGTCTGTGATCTCTGTAATGTCATGCACAGAGCCGTGGTGCTGCTGGTGGCTTTAAAGGCACGCTTAGCACTTGAATACTGGCTCTAGTAAGAGGAAATCCCTGGTAAACGACTCGGATGTAGTTAGAAACATCAAGTCCTGGAGAGATCAACCCAGCCACCTTCCTCCGCAGGCCTCACTCCCGATGCAGGCAGAGAAGGAAGGGTAACAGCTGCCTCGCAGGTACTTCCGCACCCCTGGCATTGAATTCTACCATCCGCTTCCTTTTCTGAAGTGCCTTCCTGTGGACAAGGATGCACTTGCAGCTGTCTGTGTGTCTAGCTAAGAACGTGCTCTCCAGAGAGAAGAAAGCACGTCATTTAAGTACCGCTGTCCCGCGGCTTCGCTGGTCATGTCTGGGAGAAGGTGCGCTGGGAAGAGGTGCAGGCAGCAGAAAATAGCCCTTAGCGTCAACTCCGGCTTTCATGGAATGGCCCTGTGCCCCTGGGGTCTCCTGGAGCAGGTCCCATGGGCATCGCTGGTCAGTAGTCCCTGCCATGCGGAGCTGCTTTGTGGTGTGGCCACCCGCCCTTTGGATGGTGTCCTGCTCCTTGGTCTGGCCACCCGCACCATCTCTGTCACCTTTGGCACCAGCTCAGCCACGGGTGGGGAAGAGTTCACATTCATCCCGTGAGGCCGTGGCGAGTGGGAGGGAGAACACCGGGCAGAGGAGCAGGG